TGACGATTTTTTTTTTTTTGTCTTTACACTGATTGCTTTTACACCCATAAAGGCTGTAAAAGCAATAATTTCTACTGCTCTCTGGCTGCATTCTTGCAGCCATTGAGAACTACTGTGTGGGCTGTGATTGTTCACAGCTTGTCATATGGTACAAGGCTGTTGTGAATAGCCTTGTACCCTGTGATCTCTGTGATCATTCACAGAATTCACACATAGTAAGCAATGATGTCAGAAGTGAAATCTTGCTTACTACTCTTCATGTGATCACTGATTGGCCAATCAGTGATCACATGATCCGGTCTTCACACAGAGGTCACGTACAATGATCAGTGTTCCGCTTTGTCCTCCGGTCACAGCAGGCACTGGATCGCGGTGCTGCACTCTCCCAGGGAGCGTGCACAAACAGGGAGCGGGGAGAAACGTTTATAAATGGCCACCCACCCCTGCACTGCTCCCGTGGTTAAAGCAAGGTCACTCTCTTTCCTGGAAAAGCACCCAGTTGAGTAACTTTGTTTAAATTCTAATGGCAGAGTGATTTAATCTCATATAATATACTATAACTCAATGAGTAGTCATCAGGATAATAAGTGAAATTTCCCCAGAAGGGACACAGACACCACTACAACACTAAAGATGTAGATGGGAGGTATTGAATCCAAAATTGGTTTTGTTCATCAGTGTGAAGATCCTTCAGAGTCCATACTGTGGAGTAAAGCTCTGGCTAGGCTGTTTTGTAACATAAAGAGGTCTCAAAGGCACCTCAAATGGACACTGGAAGGTGTAGAGAAAACAAGTAAGCCACACCAATGGCTTAGTAGTCCAAAAGTATCTATTAAATCACAGAAGTCCAAAGACAACAAGCCAATGAGCTTCAGGGGCTATAAGGTTCCCCCTTAAAGTGTTACTAAACCCAGGACCCTGCATTCATTATATCTGGTCTCCCACATCACACACAACATGGAAATGCAATTATTTTAGTAAACATAAATTGCTAAATAAAATATATAGAAAATGTGCGCCAAAGGAATAAACAATAAATTAAAATAAATGCTGCTGTTATAAAAATGACTGAACATCAAAATATACTCATAAAGTGACACAGCGCAAATAATACAAATTGTGAAAAATTGTATATTAAAGTCATTTGACCACAGGATAAAGTCCACAGTTGACTGACGTCACTCAGCTGGTCCAGGCTCTGGATGGATCCCGACTTTAAAGCGGAGCTGCACCCAAAAGGGGAAGTTCTGCTTTAAGGACTGCTCCCCTGCTCCCCATTAAGGATTGGCACCTTTGGGGGGTGAGGGGGGGTTTCGAATTTGACAAGTACCGGCTCCCAATTGCGGTTGGATTGCCTAGGCCAGTGGTCGGCAAGCCGCGGCTCGCGAGCCACATGCGGCTCTTTACACGCTTTAATGCGGCTCTTGTGTGCCGGGCGCCTGCTCCCCTCCCTCCTCTCGGGCGGCCGAGGACTCTGCAGCGTGATCCAAAAAAAAAAACAGCCAGGGCAGCGCGCTCAAATGCAATGATTGGCCAGTCTCGCTGCCACTCACATCCTGATAGCCAGTGATTGGCTGTCAGGATGTGTGTAGGCGGGGCAGCGTGACGAACGTGAGAGGAGCTAGGCTCCTCTCACAGTCCGCCCTGAAGACCGGAACGGTGCGGGGAACACGGCGAGAGGAACGCGCGGAGCAAAGGTAAGTGAATTGACACAGGGGGGACTTGGCTTACTACTTGCTACTTACTTACTACTACTATATGAAGGATGAATTAATATGGGGGATGAATTACTATAGGGGGGATGAATTACTATAGGGGGGATGAATTACTATATGGGGGATGAATTACTATGGGGGATGAATTACTATATGGGGGATGAATTACTATATGGGGGATGAATTAATATGGGGGATGAATTACTATATGGGGGATGAATTACTATGGGGGATGAATTACTATATGAGGGATGAATTACTATATGGGGGATGAATTACTATGGGGGATAATTACTATATGGGGGATGAATTACTATGGGGGATGAATTACTATATGGGGGATGAATTACTATGTGGGATGAATTACTATATGGGGGATGAATTACTATATGGGGGATGAATTACTATGGGGGATGAATTACTATATGGGGGATGAATTACTATGTGGGATGAATTACTATATGGGGGATGAATTACTATATGGGGGATGAATTACTATGGGGGATGAATTACTATATGGGGGATGAATTACTATGTGGGATGAATTACTATATGGGGGATGAATTACTATATGGGGGATGAATTACTATATGGGGGATGAATTACTATGGGGGATGAATTACTATAAAAACTTATTGAAACTAGAAACAGTGTACCATCCTATGTATTTTCAGTTTTAAAAATGTGGCTCTCAAAATAAATTTCAATTGTGGTTTTGGCGAGATTTGGCTCAGTTGAAAAAAAAGGTTGCCCACCACTGGCCTAGGCGATCGGAAATGGAAGGCGTCCTCCCTCCTTCCCTCCCCGTAGTCTTCTGGGACACGTGACAGGTCCCAGAATACTACAGGACCATTCATGAACTGTGGCCCATGATTGGTATCTTGCTGTGGTAACTTTCATGTTGAAATTCGATTTATACACTATGCCCTAGACCAGACCTTTTTCAACCCTGGGGTGCCTTCAGGTTTCTTCATGTGCTTGCTATAGATTCCAGTACCTTATGTGTGTCCATCCGACTTGCACCCAATCTGCTGGACGGATGGGGAACAGATCCCCTCCATCTGTTTTAGCATACAGGATCGGATCACATGTCCGCTGACACCTGGCACTCCATAGAGAGCTATAGATGGTCCGACCAGGTCCTCCTGTCAGTTTTTCAGGACCATCAGTGTGAAAAAGGTCTAAAGATGAAATGATATATCTGGATATGCAGACTCCACTAGTGTTTACTTTATTAAAGATTAATGACAGTACAGTATTAACAACTTCCAGCAATGCATTGTTATTTGTATCATTAATGTTGACATAGGTTTAAGGAAAAGGCAGTACTGTCAAAGAAATACCACTAATTAAGTTGTAAAGTTGAATTTTAGGCAGATGTAAAAAACACCAATTAATGCAATTATGTGTTCATTAAATAAAAATATCACATATGCTTATAATTAAAATGAAAACCTGACTTACAAGTATGTTTATTCCTTCCTCTGTGTTCTGGATCATCTGTGTACTGTTCATGGTGGATCTCAGTAAGAGTGTTGTTAAAAGGTTAGGTGACACCTATGGTCATTACCTCTTTTTCCTACTAAAATGTTGGGGACCTCATGTATAGGTGGTCATGTTGATCCGGTAAGGAGTTGTTGTGCAACTGGGTAGTGGAGCACGCATTTGGACATAACATTTTGTGTGGAGGGTTATCACAGCATAATCACAAGATGTGTAGACCTTTTCTGATTATTGCACCATTATAACGATTGTGATCTGCGTATTTCTGTGCAGGTTTTGAATCCATCATTATTATCTCTTCTTCGCTATACGTGATTATGTGAATCACTTGAAGAAATTTAAGGAATTAGAGCAACATGTCCATTTTTACCGTCTGTTTGAACAAGGCCTTAATATCAGCCTCGTGTTATCTCCTGTCAGCACTACTCAAACTGGGAAAGGGAGGAACTGCACTAGCGACCAATCAATTGTGCTGCAGTGCACATAAACTGGAAAGACACATTCTGACGGGGAGAGAGTAGTGCAAGTAAAAAGGAATAACTCATTATCACTGTGCTGCTTCTACTGTTTTACTGTCCTCTCATAGGGGCAAGTAGGTGACGTAGTTGTAATGCTAAATTTCAGCTGGCTGCAGTTTCTTGGTTAGGCAAATGTCGTTTTAGCATGTGATTGGTTAGGTCTGTTCAGTGTCTCATAGGCTGCAGGTTTGATTGCTCTTTCTTCAGAACTCTCTGAAAAATGTAAATGGACATCATGAATATTCATATTGTCCCAGCCGATCTTTGTGAGCCCTGCAGAGGTGGCTGCTGGGTATTGGTATCAATAGTTTGAGACCTAGAGCAGAATTGTCTTATCTGCTGGAGAGGATCACAGCCAAACCCCTTAGGCAACTCTACCACGTGCTTGCTATTTGTGAGCCTGAGCTGGCAAGCTGAGGGGCCTGGATGCTAAACATTGCTAGAAGCTGACTGAGGGGTTGTTGTCTGAGGATGTAGTCGGAGATCACTGGTAGAGGTGTTTGGAAGATATTGGCCAGAGGCAACCAACATCCGAGGACATTTGTGAGTACAGACTGGTGTTAGAGATCCTGGAGACTGTAGGCTCCTGGCACCCCACTGGTACTAGAGAGTCAGCTGTGTGTGTAAAAGGGACATCGACTATTGTCCTGAAGTGCTCAGTCTATCTAATTCTTTGTGAAAGGCCTCTGCTCAAAATGCTCAAAAGAGGAAATTTTTGTGTCTTTATCTACTGCTACAAAGCCAAGTCAACTGACTGTTTTTACAAGGACGTTGCTTACAGTTCTGCAGAAGGAAGTTTTTAGTTTCCTCACTTTGTACAGAGTTCTTTTTAGAGCAGTGGTTCTCAACCTTTCTAATGCCGCGACCCCTTAATACAGTTCCTCATGTTGTGGTGACCCCCAACCATAAAATTTTTTTGTTGCTACTTCATAACTGTAATTTTGCAGTGGGAGGAGTAGTGCCACGTCATTGGTGTCAGTGGGAGGAATAGTGTCCCATCACTGATGTCAATGGGAGGAATAGTGCCCCATCATTGGTATCAGTGGTAGGAATAGTGCCCTATCATTGGTGTCAGTGGTAGGAATAGTGCCCCATCATTGGTGTCAGTGGGAGGAATAGTGTCCCATCACTGATGTCAATGGGAGGAATAGTGCCCCATCATTGGTATCAGTGGTAGGAATAGTGCCCCATCATTGGTGTCCAGTCAGTGGTAGGAATAGTGCCCCATCATAGGTGTCAGTGGGGGGAATAGTGCCCATCATAGGTGTCAGTGGGGGGAATAGTGCCCATCATAGGTGTCAGTGGGAGGAATAGTGCCCCGTCATTGGTATCAGTGGGGAGGAATAGTGCCCCGTCATTGGTGTCAGTGGGAGGAATAGTGCCCCGTCATTGGTGTCAGTGGGAGGAATAGTGCCCCGTCATTGGTGTCAGTGGGAGGAATAGTGCCACGTCATTGGTGTCAGTGGGGGGAATAGTGCCCCATCATTGGTGTCAGTGGGGGGAAATAGTGTCCCATCATAGGTGTAAGTGGGGGGAATACTGCCCCATCATAGGTGTCAGTGGAAGGAATAGTGCCCCATCATTGGTGTCAGTGGGAGGAATAGTGCCCCATCATTGGTGTCAGTGGGAGGAATAGTGCCCCATCATTGGTGTCAGTGGGAGGAATAGTGCCCCATCATTGGTGTCAGTGGGAATAGTGCCCCATCATGGTGTCAATAGTGGTTGTCAGTGGGAAATAGTGCCCCATCATTGGTGTCATGGGGAGGAATAGTGCCCCATCATAGGTGTCAGTGGGGGGAATAGTGCCCCATCATTGGTGTCAGTGGGGGGAATAGTGCCCCGTCATTGGTGTCAGTGGGAATAGTGCCCCGTCATTGGTGTCAGTGAGAGGAATAGTGCCACGTCATTGGTGTCAGTGGGGGGAATAGTGCCCCATCATTGGTGTCAGTGGGGGAATACTGCCCCATCATAGGTGTCAGTGGGAGGAGGAAATAGTGCCCCATCATTGGTGTCAGTGGGAGGAATAGTGCCCCATCATTGGTGTCAGTGGGAGGAATAGTGCCCCATCATTGGTGTCCAGTGGGGAGGAATAGTGCCCCATCATTGGTGTCAGTGGGATAGTGCCCCATCATTGGTGTCAGTGGAAGGAATAGTGCCCCATCATTGGTGTCAGTGGGAGGAATAGTGCCCCATCATTTGGTCAGGTGTCAGTGGGGGGGAATAGTGCCCCATCATAGGTGTCAGTGGGGGGAATAGTGCCCCGTCATTGGTGTCAGTGGGAGGAATAGTGCCCCGTCATTGGTGTCAGTGGGAGGAATAGTGCCCCGTCATTGGTGTCAGTGGGGAGGAATAGTGCCCCGTCATTGGTGTCAGTGGGAGGAATAGTGCCCCGTCATTGGTGTCAGTGGGAGGAATAGTGCCCCGTCATTGGTGTCAGTGGGAGAGGAATAGTGCCCATCATAGGTGTCAGTGGGGGAATAGTGCCCCATCATTGGTGTCAGTGGGGGGGAATAGTGCCCCATCATTGGTGTCAGTGGGGGGAATAGTGCCCCATCATAGTTTGTAAGTGGGGGGGAATAGTGCCCCATCATAGGTGTCAGTGGAAGGAATAGTGCCCCATCATTGGTGTCAGTGGGGGGATAGTGCCCCCATCATAGGTGTCAGTGGAAGGAATAGTGCCCCCATCATTGGTGTCAGTGGGAGGAATAGTGCCCCATCATTGATGTCAGTGGGAGGAATAGTGCCCCATCATTGGTGTCAGCGGGAGGAAACAGTGCCCCATCATTGGTGTCAGCGGGAGGAATAGTGCCCCATCATTGGTGTCAGCGGGAGGAATAGTGCCCCATCATTGGTGTCAGCGGGGGGGAATAGTGCCCCATCACTGTGTCAGCGGGAGGAAAAGTGTCCCATCACTGGTGTCAGCGGGAGGAAAAGTGTCCCATCACTGGTGTCAGCGGGAGGAAAGTGCCCAACATTGGTATCAGTGGGAGGAAAAGTGCCCCATCGTTGGTATCAGTGGGAGGAATAGTGCCCCATCATTGGTATCAGTGGGAGGAATAGTGCCCCATCGTTGGTGTCAGTGGGAGGAATAGTGCCCCATCGTTGGTGTCAGTGGGAGGAATAGTGCCCCATCGTTGGTGTCAGTGGGGGGAGGAATAGTGCCCCATCGTTGGTATCAGTGGGGGGAGGAATCGTGCCTCATCGTTGGTGTCAGTGGGGGGAGGAATCGTGCCTCATCGTTGGTGTCAGTGGGAGGAATAGTGCCCCATCATTGGTATTAGTGAATCCAATGATGGGGCACTATTCCTCCCACTGACACCAATGATACTTACCTTGCTGACCCCTGCTCCAGCCTGGGCTCGCTCGCTCCCTCCCTCTCCCATGGTACAGACACTTACCTGTCAGCTGTCTTCCTTCTCCGGCCGCTCTCCTCCTCTTCACCCGCTCGATCTTCGCGGTGCCGCTCGGCTCCTCCTCTCCAAGCTCCACCTCCTCGCGATGATTGGCCGCCTGTGTGCCTCTCCTGAGCTACATTTCCGGCGGCCAATCACCGGCGAGGATTGATCCTGAGGGTGTGTCCAGATGACAGGGGCGCCTTGTCATCCCGCCCACACCTGGAGACGGATAGAGCAGTGGTGTCTCGGTTCCTAACACCATCGGAAATATGTGTTTTCCGATGGTCTTAGGCGACCCCTGTGAAAGAGTCGTTCGACCCCCAAAGGGGTCGTGACCCCCAGGTTGAGAACCGCTGTTTTAGAGTATCCCACACTCACCCCCATCCCCAATCTAAGTTACCCCTAAAAAAAAACTTCAAAAAGAGCACCCCTGGACTCATCATTGAGCCAAAGAGTGACTATGATTGTGTGCCTGGGTGTGGGCCAATTCCAGGAAAAGACCCTGGGACCTTTGAACTGCTGGCTCCTACAGGGGTTCCGCTACATATATGTATATATTTGAATGTATTCTGTCTGTAATTTCTAATTTTGTATTGGTTAATGCTGATATTAGAAGCAACTTGTCACCTGTGGTGATTAATCAGTTTGACAGCGATGGTGTGGGCTGGCCAATGATTTTATTTTTATTGATGCTCTTTATGTTTTTGTAGTAATAACGTTTCATAACTGATGTGTTCATAATAGAGATTTTAAATTAAAACCAAACTCAGTACTGGCTGTCACACTGCGTGGGTAGCAGGTTCTTCACTATGCAAGGATCTGAAGACAAAAATACAAGGCCTTTTGTACGTACCAGAAAAGAATAGGAATGCAGCATTGCAGATTCACCTTTATTAAAACAAAACCATTTTAAGGGGAGTATAATGGTTGTATAGTAGCAATGTGAAATAGCTGCCTTGTGTAGAACAATTTTTCTAAGCAGTAATTGCACCCACACCTAGGGTAGGATGGACAGTAAATCTACACTGTATGACCAAAAATTTGTAGACACCTGACCATCACAGCTACATGAAATCATCAGACATCCTTTTCCAAAATCTTGAGCATTAATATAGAGTTGCCCTCTATGTAGCTGTAGCAGTCTCCACTTTTATGGGAAGGCTTTCCACAACATTTTCGAGCGTATTTGCAGTAACTTGTGCTATTCAACCTAAAGAGCGTTTGTGGGTTCGTTACTAATGATGAACAAGCAGGTCAGCATTCCAATTCATTTAAAAGGTTTTCAATAAGGTTAATGTTAGATCTCTGTGAAGGTCATTCAAGATCCTCCACTCCAAACTCATTAAACCATGTCTTTATGGATCCTTGCTTTGTGCTCAGGGGTACATTCATGCTGGAACAGAGAAGGGTCTTCCCCACAAGACAAAAATACAAAGTTGTCTAAAATGTTTTTGTATGTTGTAACATGAACAGCACCCTTTACAGGAAAACCTGAACTTTGGAGGGTTGTCCACAGGCTTCTGGTCATATAGTTGTAGGTGTGATGGTCAGGTGTCCACATACACTATAGCGTAGCAGATGATTAGTTGTCATGAGCAGGAGCCCTTTTTTCCCACATTCCCTGGTTGTGTAATTCAGCACAACTGTAAAGCTGACCATAGCCATGAGATTACAGTCATTCATTCTCACCAATGACAGTGGTATATATTTTGCTGCAATTCTCAAAACAGGCCACATGACAGGACTTCAGTAAATAAATTGTTCCCGTGGAACCGTTTCTGCATTACACTGCATCAAGAAAAAGTTATGTAGTTTGCAAATGAAGTGCAGTGCATGCAAAAATGCTCACTCATATGGCTAGTGTTTCCCTGATATTTAACAATGTATGCCCGATTGACCAAACTCTTAGAGCAGGGGTCTCCAAACTGTGGGCCATGAGCCAATTTTACTCTGCCCACAGCATCTCTAATGTGATGGGGGCTCTAATGTGAAAGGGGGAATTTGATGGAAAGGGAGGGGGGCTTTGATGTGAGGGGGGCTTCAGATGGGAAAGTGCACTCTGGTGTGAGGAAGGGGGGTGCTCCGATGTGAAATAGGGCTCTGATGTGAAGGGGAGAACTTTGATTGAAGGGAGGCTCAAATATTAATGAGGGGGGCATCTGATGTGAAAGTTGGACTCTGATGTGTTGGGTGGCTTCTAATACTGTATGAATGAAGAAACTGCTGAAGCAAAATGGGAACATCTAATATGAAGTTATTTCTTGGAGCATTTATTCAATCATTTAAATTTTTAATTTATAAAAACTGAATATTTGTAAAATTACGCAATGTGGTCCTCATACTGAAAAGATTAGAGAGCCTTGTTCTAGAGGTTGGTTCCTGCCAGCTTGACAAAGAGCTCTTGCATACTTACATTTATTCAAGAATGGATAAATGCAGAATTTGATTTATGCGCATGTAATTTAGGCTTATTAGGCAATGCATTATGAATTGAAAACTTTTCATTCATAATGCAATAATATAAGCCTCCAAACTTCATCCAAGAATTTCATTCTTAAATTATTTTATAGCACATCATTCTTTTATATAACACACTTTTAATAGCTTGACAAAGCATCATATAAGTTAATATTGTGTTATCTAGCCGAGGTTACTTCCATGTTTTATCTTGACGGGTATCTTCAGTGCCTTGGGCCCCAGACGTAGAAATGGTTGTCTGTGATGTTCAACCCACTGGATAAAACGGATCTGTACCTAGGCTATAATGGTACTGCAGGCTTTATGGAAATTTAACTGTTTTATTTAATCAGTCCTATAAAAAAATTTCTCCACTGATAAATATGGTTTCTTAGAAACTATCTGAATTGGTCATGACATTTCCTTGTTGCTCAAATCAATGTGACACATACTTTAATTTTATATACAGCAAAAAAGCCATAGTATATAACTACTTATACTGTAGATCCTTTACTTTGCTTCTGCAGTGTATACATTGATGTACATTTATAATCCAAAGTCTTAAATCAAAATAATGTAAAGGTACCTTTACAACCAACTGGCATAAGTACCTGAACCTGTTATTTTAACTGTTCCTGTCATCCCCTGCATAGCAGAATTCAGACAGGGAGAGGGAGTGGCAGCTATCAAGGCTTTGCTGCTCCTTCAGTGTCCAATCAGAAGGCTGCAGCTGGGAAGGTGACATCACTGAATTCCTTAACGGCAACAGAGAAACTTGTGTACTGGTTGGGCTTTCTAGTAGAGCTGGGTGAATCATGAAAGTGGCTGCATATAAATACAACCAGATAAGACCGCTTACATATATGTATTTCAACTGTGTATTTACCCAACTGCCTGGAGTTCAACTTTAAACTGATCATTTTATGGAGCTTATAGAAACCCAACATAAGGGAAACATGTATGCTGCCCTCTAAGCAGTATGCAGGTACGGCCTTAAAGTGGTAGTCCAGGCTATTACTAACTAAGCCTAAAACTGCTCCCACCCCATCTTCTAAATCCTATACTAACTATGCTGTGAAAGGAGATGTGTATACTTACCTAATCTCAGGGCACTCCGGTGTGGTCACGTGATTGGCTCCCAGTGGCGGTTTCAGGGGAGAGAGGGGACAGCCAACAATGGATGCCCCATAGTAAGCCTATGTGTTACATCAACACACAGGCATTGCAGCTGTTGTTACTGCTCATTCCTCTTCCCTGAGGTCGGCCGCATTGGAGATCACGTGATTGGACATGAGCACCCTGAGAGTAGTTAAGTATAAGCATCTTCCTTCTATGAAATATTTAGAATAGGAGTTAGAAGGGGGTAGGAGTAGATTTACACGTATGATATGCATACCCATTGCTAATTAGCGATTCGAAAAGTATTCAAGCAATGCATCAGCCTTACCAGCCAGCCAGCAGAAAGAGGCCAGCAATATCATCATTCATATTTCTTACAGGACAGGTTTACGGTAGGCTAGAAGCGGTAATAAAGATGGCCGTTAAAGTATCAGTATAACAGCGGG